TTAATAAATGTCTCACTTTTATAGTTACACTACATTCATAACAATGGTGCTAGTTGTTATTAATTCATAGCTCAGCTTTTAGAAAAACACTGTAATCACATCTTCTTGTCTGCAGTTATGTTCTTTCTGAGGAAATCAGGATTTTGACAAACTGCATCAGAATCAATAAAACTGTTTTTACCATGGACAAACTTTATTAAGTGTTGGGTTTTGTTTTTTTAAAACTGAGATGAAGTCGGATAAGGGGGGCAGGAGATCATAGTAAGCTTTGGAGCAGAGCAGATGTTTCTCTTATGTCTGAGTCTTGAGAGGTTTAAAAATAGGTGCTGTGGTAAGACTCACTGGCATGTGTATAGATTCATGGCCTAGTATGATGACACAGATTGTCTTAATGGCACAGCATGATGCATTATGAGTGAGCACAGGCAAAGCTATCTTTATCAAATGTTTGAAAAGAAAATGCTTTTGCATTAAAGAAAAATTTTGAGAGGGGTAATTTTGAGAGTACTTGTACGCATACTCAGTTATGAGCTATTACTTACTCAGGTTCAAAAATTTACAATAGGCTTCCTGGTCACATGTGGGATCAGTAATGTTCAATGGTACTATTACAAACTCATTGTCCACGGCAGATCCTTGAGAAAGGTCTGGCAGAATGTGGGTAGCTAGCGTTAGTGTGGATCTGCTTTTATTTCTCTTTCTCTCTTTTGTTTCTCTTCCTTCCTAAAACTGAATATTAACAATAACAACAGCTCTACCTACCTCCAGTGCAAAGACAATTTTCAAGCAATATATGATAAAGATAGATATTATTGGATCAAAACCAAGCAACTTCTGGAGTCTTCATTACATATTGCACGTAAAAGGCTCTAGGGAAAAAAAAAAAGAGGGGTTTGCATTCAACTATATGTAGAAGAACCCTATGAAAGAAAAAGAAACCTGACCTCAGAGATTATAAGCCACATATCATGGTCAAAAATGGTTCAAAACTTTATCTAATCATCTTTTGAGTTGTGGGGATTGTGATTTTATACCATTATTGCAGTCACAGGAGGGAAAAAGGAAGAGAATTGTCTAGGACCAGAGTCCTGACACCACGCTAAGACTGTTCCAGGCTGTATTAATCAATTTTCTGGCCAGGACGTTTTAATGCAAATAGTATAGGCATAATTTGGCTTTCATCAAAATCATAGGCTATATTCCTGGGCCCCCTGGTATTTATGGAAGAATCTTTCTGGAGACTATGAAATTTAATACTCTTTATCTTGAATGGTACAGAGAGATACTGGGACTACTGTGAGAATCTATTGATATTTTTTCTTTTCAGTGGTGCAGTGATGGCTGACAGACCCGTATGAATTACAGAAGGGTTTTTTAATTTATTAATAATCATTAGATAGAGAAGTTTTCCATGCTACCCAGCCTATACTTCTCAAAAGGAGAGCTGGAGCCTATCTCAAAATGATTGGGAGTGAACACTTTTCTTCCTGACTGTGCTTCTCTTCTTCGTTCTTGTGTGTCTTCAGATCAGTGGATTTTTTTCCCTTTTCTCAGGTGTTCATGCTGCTGAGAAGGGAATATTTTGTCATGAGAGCTTCCAGGCTCCAGGAACAGGGATGTGCAAAAGGCTGGAAAAGGCTCCAACCAGCAGCCAACACAGAAGCAATGTGTTTTTTGTCTCCCACTGTGTCCCCGCCAGCTCTCCAGTCCACACAGTCCTACCCAGGGCTGGCTCTGTCCCACCAGGCACCTGCCTGGGATGCAGACCCCAGGCAGGGACTCTGCTGTGCCTGCTGAGATTACAGCTACTCTAGACCCATGGAAGCCATAACTGTCTGTCCCAGCCACTGTTGATATGGTACTATGGAGATTTCACTTGCTACTGCTCCTGTTTGTTTTGTATGTATTCCTTGCTGATACTGGGACCAAGCTACACTGGCTGTTGAAGTAAATTTTAAGGTAGAAAAGTTATTTTATTTTTATTTAACAATTCAGAGGAAAGAGAGGGACATTTTGGAATTTTCAAAATATAATGCTGATGATTGCTTTATATATAAAAAGAAAACACACATTCTGCCACCATTGATTGACTTAAAAAAAAAAAAAAAGAGAAGATGACAGATTTAGATGGCACAGGACTAAAGAAGTTCAATAGCTGTCTTGATTTAATTCTCCATTGCCAAATTACAATTTGTTGTGCTTTGATCAGTGTAAAGAGTAGGGAACATGGTTATTGACTTCATCCAGGCAAAGAGATATAAATATAAAATCTCCAGTATACAGATTAATATTTGTGCACCTCAGAAATGAGAGGAAGGCCTTATTCAAATCCTAGCATGATTCTGTGTGTCATATAAAGTGAGTAGAATTTGATCTGAAAAGAGTAACTACTAAATAAACATTTAATTTATATAAAATAACAATCCTCAGTGTAGGAGTTAAAAATGGTTGAAATTCTGAAAGAAAGGAAGGAATAGAAAATAAATAGCAATTAGGAAGGAAGAGAACAGTACACTGAAAAAATAAATAAATAAAGTCAGAAGGAATATTTCAAGCTTGTGACTGCTTTCTTATCCTTTTATACTATTTGGCTATATCACACGGTATAAATAAGATTAAATGATATATTACAATTATGTGAAAATTTGTAGGCAGAAATAGGGCATGAGCTGCTGTAATTTCTATAGAACTACATCATTTTGCTCTGGATGTAAATTTAGTTAACGTTCTCCTAATTTTATCTACCAAGACTAGCCATAAATATTTTTAAATTGAAGTACTTAAAATGTTTAAAAAGCTATTTTAAAATATATTGTTCCAGCAGTGTCTATTCTGTACCATTTGTACTCTATTTAATGACATATTGTAGGGTTTTAGGAGATAATAATCTGCAAAATGCAATAGTCAGTGTCCAGGAAAAAACTATTAAAGCATATAACTAATGAAAACAAAGAACAACAAGTTACTGAGAACTAGACTTCGGAAAAATACCTTAAGGGTAGAAGCTATTACCCACTAGTATGTAATAAACTCCTCAGCAGGTAGTGGCTTGGGGAGAAAAGGTCTCAGAATGATAGCATTGTGATAAAAATAAGTTGATGATTCCTCAAAATAAAAGAACTGCTTTCACTTTTAAAGACTAACTGGAAGGGAAGTATCTTGAGGAAAAAAAATGCACACTGACCATTTCCAACCACCCATTTATAAAAAGAAAAACTTTATTTCTCAGCCTGTAGAAGCTACATACAAAGGCCTATTGGATTAAAAATCTTAGTGGATAAAAGGAAATAATCACCAGTTAGACCTGAGGAGAGGTTTTACAACTTAAATAGGCAAAGGCTTTGTACATTTACTGAATCCTGAGGGCAGAGATGGATTATTAAACTAGAATAATCCAGGGGGGAGAATATATATATATATATGTATTTGTTTGTTTATTTATTTATATTTTTATTATATATTCTTTGCATTTGTGCTGTGAAATGTAATATGACTTAGGGAAGATGCATGTGACTTAAATTTGGAAGGAAAAATACTGGTCTGGTTAAAAAGGAGAAAAAGAGAGAGGAGAGGGAGATGCAGAAAGCATGTGTGTATGTGTGTGTGTGTGTGTTTGCACACGTGTGTGTGATGCACAGATTCACAGAATGGGTGAAGTTGAAAGGGACCACAGTGGATCATCTGGATCCAACCTCCCTGCTCAAGCAGGGTCGCCCTAGAGCACGTTGCACAGGATTACATCCAGATGGTTCTTGAATATCTCCAGTGATGGAGACTCCACAACCTCTCTGAGCAATCTGTTCCAGTGCTTGGTCACTCACACACTAAAGTTCTTCCTCATATGCAGGTGGAACTTCCTGTGCATCAGTTCCTGCCTGTTGTCTCTTGTCCTATTGCTTAGCACCACCGAGAAGAGCCTGAATCCATCCTCTTGAAACCCTGCCTTCAGATACTGACAGCCATTAATGAGGTCCCCTCTCAGTCATCTGTTCTCGAGGCTGAACAGGCTCAACTCGCTCAGCCTGTTCTCATAAGAGGGATGTTCGAGTCCCTTAATCATCATTATTGCCCTCCAGTGAACCTGCTACAGGAGCTCCATGTCTTTCTTGTACTGAGGAGGCCAGAAGAGGACACTTCTGTACCCTCAGTACCCCAGCTGAGGCCTCACCAAGGCTGAGTAGAGGGGCAGAATCACCTCCCTCGACCTGCTGGAAATGCTCTTCCTGATGCACCCCAGGATACCACTGGCCTTCTTGGCCACAAGGACACACTGCTGCCTCATGGACAGCTTGTTGTCCACCAGGACCCTCCAGATCCTTCTTCATAGAGCTGTTTTCAGCAGGTCAGACACCAGAAACACTGGTTCATGGGGTCATTCCTCCCTGGGGGCGGGACCCTGCACTTGCCCTTCTTGAATTTAAAAATAATCCACTCTGCTCATCCCTCCCACCTGTCAAGGCACACATGCACAAATTTATTTGAAAGCTGTTAAAGCTTTCCAAAGCAAGTGGGTCAGCTATAATGAAGTGCAGTAAGCTTTTGCTTTTTTGTAAAGGAAAAGAAAAAATCCTGCTGTCTTTCCATTTTCTTTTTCTTTCCACTATCACTTGCTTAGGTAATGAGGGCTTACTCTGATCAGAAGTATGTTGTATGTTGTATGTTCAGGGGTGTCATCACTGTAAGAACAAAGGCATAACTATAGATAAGTTCAGGCTGGTGGAAAATGACATAAAATGACAAGCCAGAGTGAAAACTGGCTAAGGAAATCAGGGATAGGTTGTACTGGGTAAACATGGTGAGATGGAAACAATCAAGACAAAACCAACAACCCTCAAACCAAGGAGTAAGGCAGCCTAGGTACCAGCAGCAAAGCATATTGCAAAGATATTGCAAACTATGACTCAAAGAGCTAAGTAAAAATATTTTTCTAATCACATCCAGAAAGAGATGTTTATATTAGAAAACAGTCAAAGTTGGCACTGAAATAGTCTCAACAATAGTTATTTAGTAAATTATATGTATTTTATTATAGTTTTATGACAGTTAATACTGATATGTCTAAGTAGTCTGTCTTACATTTATTATTCATAATATATTCTGTATAATTCCAAAGTACAGATTGCCAACATTTCAGGTAATGAAAATGGTATTCCGGTTTTGTACACTGGGCATGGTTTCCTACGTGTAACAGATAGGGAAATGTTATAACATAGGTATATAGTTCTGCCCAATGCAAGAAATACATGCAGCCATAGAACTATCCATTCACATAAAATGCTACTAATCATAACCAAGTCAGACTAACTAAACTAAACTAATATCTTTTACATATCTTTTACAGCTATGCACGCCAGTAGGCTTGAAAGCCATACTTGTTTTACTTTATCTTGGGGCACATAAAATCATAGTATTTGGCAGCATGGGATAAGGGACATTAAATCAGCTTTTATGCTGTTGTTAAGAAACCCATAGAGGATGGGATTCAAGCAGCAGGACATCATACCCAATAAATGGCATATGCAATATACTAATTTAAAATGTCTGTTAGAAATGAGAGTGGCATTAAAATCTGTCACAATGTGGAAAAGGTGAAGAGGCATCCAACTGAAACCAAAAACTAGGATTAGCACTGTCAGTCTGCAAAAAACTCTCCTTGATCTTGTCTTAATTCTGACAATGGATCGGGATACTGTAATCATGTCCTGGATCTCTGTATTTTCTTCTGGTTTCATTTCAAAACAGATAGGAATCCCAGGGATGAATTTACTGGAGGAAAAGAGCTGACTTTTTTCTGTGCCAGAGGTTTCTGGGAGATCTCTTGAATGAGTATCCTGATGATGCCTTGAAATAGCTGGCATCACACTTGAAGTCTTCCTGCTATATCTTCTGTGGTGCTTTTTGCCAAAGGCACAGCTCCACCTGGAGTGCCCAGAGGACTGCACCTGTGTGCTAGTGCTCTTAGAGGGATGAAGAGCTAGGTTTATCATCTCCTTTTCTTCAAACTTGTTTTCCTTGTTTGACAGTCTAGAACCTATGCTCCTGCAGACGCTCGTGTGACTAGCAGTTAAACACGCCAGCGGCAGTATGTACTGCATGAACAGTAAGGCTATTGTAAAGGCAATTCTATAGGAATCGGAAGGCCATGACTCGATACACAAGAGTCTGTTCTCCAGTGCCTCTAAATTCAGAGTTTTGCTGAGGTCCACAATTTTGTGGAAAACTGGTAGAGGGGAGCAAATTGTGAAGCCAAAGGCCCAAATGGTCACTATTAAGAAATAGCCTTGTTTTGCTGTTAGATTGCTAGAAAGGGGATATTTTATCATACGGTACCTGACTGCAGCAATAGATATTAACATCAAAGTTGAAACTAGAACTGATGCGCATTGGAGGAAGGGCATTACATGGCACATGACAGTGCCAAACATCCACTGATCAAGCAGGACGGATGTCAGTGTGAAAGGCGAACAGAACAGCACAACCAAGATGTCAGAAAAGGCCAAGTTACCTATGAGAATGTTTATTATCGTCTTCTGCTTGCACTTTAGTAGGGCCATTAGTATAAGCAGATTTCCCATAAAGCCAGCCAGACTTATAAGTGTGTACAGCCCAATAAGAAAGTACTGTATGTCATCAACACTACTCTTATAGTCTTCCCAGGCAGAAAAATTCTTTGTAGTAGCAGAGGTGTTCCTGGTAGGTGTCCTGTTGGTACGGTCTTTTAATCCTAAATCCATTTTACAGTCCTGCTTAGAACGAGAAAGGCATTAATTAGCATCTGAAGGAACAATGATATTGCTGTTAATCAGAATGTAAAGGAACATAAATTTACCTGGTGTCACCTCAATGCAAATAAATTACTAGTCATGTTAGTCTACTGTGAGGTAGATCCTGTATAACTTCAGGTCAACATGAATTAGTTACGTAGGTTTTACCATGTGGTGTTCAGCATGCCTTGGCCTCCTACCCGGCTGCTCACATGGGAGAATGGCAATTTAAGGTTCTGCATTATTATGTTGGCTTTTAACTATGCTTTGCTATAGACTATATTGTCAGACTTTCCATGAGGGAACAGTTAGCTACAAAAGCAATTCATCTTGAGTTGGTGAGATTACTCATGTGCATAAGAGCCCATCGATATGGGTAAGGAAATGACAGACACCATCTGGGCACACGCCTAATCATTGCATCACAGCAAATTATAACGAAGGCACCTGAAAATATATATGCTAATAACTGCACTAGCATTTCTTACCTTGCTAGTAGAGAACTAACACAAAATAAGTGAGAGCTTTCAAAAATGATCAGGAAATCCACTGTCAGTGATCCAAGATGGAATTCCTAATGTGGTGTATATAGAAACCATTTTCTATTAAGCGTTGAACATATTTTAACTGGTGCTCAAGCAGAAAGGAAAACTGCCTATAAAACATCTAAAGTAACTGGATGTAATACAAAGAGGACAGTGTTAATTGGAAGCAAACTCCACACAGCCATTTGAAAATTCAGTGAACCACTAATTATTCAGCACAGAAACATCGAACATTAAAACCTAACTCAGCACAAAGTTATACTGCCTACAGAATCTTCATGTATTAGGAATCTTCATGTATTTCTTCATTTTAGAACAAACAGAAAGACATGAGAATTTAGTTCAATCTTCAGTTTACCTTAAACACCAGCATGTACTAAAGTTTCAAAGTTCTCCAGAGTGCCAGTGCCCTGTACAAAATTGCTTAATGTTTAGAAATCTTATATAAGAGAAAACAGGAACATCTAAACAATACTAAAGCATATATAAATTGAGCAGAAGGCTAGATCTGTCACCTAAAAAAGGCAGGGCTCTTCAAGGTTCCTCTGTGAGTTGTATGGTGCTGACTTCTTCAAAGTGCAAAAATGTTACTCAGCTTCCTCTACACATGCAGACGTGTTCCTTCCTTGACATCACGTGTGCTCCTACTGTCATGTGCCAAAGGGAAGCTCAAACCTTAAAACAACCTCAGAATATTCACTGACAGTGTGTTGTGATGGGAAGGTTCCTCATGTAAAAGTAGGAATACTTATTTAAAAAAAAAAAATCTTGCAAGTAATGTGTTGGAAAGAGGTGACAAGAAGTCAGCCTTGCCAGATTCTCTCAATCTTAAAGTGCTTTAAAATAGCTAAAATAGAAGTAAGAACTGGATATGTGAATTTAGATAACCTAAATTTTATAATTGTGTGCATACAAGCAGAGCAGCATTAATGCATATTATTTCTGTTCAATTTTTCCCAATCCTTAATGAAATGATGGGAAACCATATAATAGACAAACAATGCTATCTGAGACTACCTTTGCCTCTAGATCAACTTTAAAGAAGCAGATTAGAGATTCTGTAAGCGATCTAATCTCTCTCTGTTGATATTATCAGAAATTTTCATTTTGGTGGGCTTCTCTTTATACAAATATTAGCTAATGAAGGAAATAGTTTTTTATTTATTTTTTCTGAGCTAATTTCTCTGAGTTGCTACTAACCAACCAAAACCAGTATGATCTGCATACCACAATGACTTTCAAAATCTGCTGAAATTTCTTTCTTTTCCCTAAGTATGACTCTACATAACTTTTGTCTGAGGAACCCCCCTGCAGAGCTTTGCCCTGGATAAGATACATCTCCATACCTCAGGCTTATGGCATTATGTCCCTGTTATGTCACACTTCTATAATTTTTTTTCTCTTTGTTCAACATGAAGGAATGGTGGATTTTGCTGACTGATGATTTTGCAGATTTCAGTGTGTGCAGGCCATCTCTAATTTGCACACTCTCTTTTGATTGATGAAAACCATTTCAACTCTATGTTGCGTTTCAATATGAAACATTACCTCCCTAATATTTTCAGGGTGAACATTCTATTATCTTTGTTCCACGACACTACACACTTAGCTGAGAAGCGTGTAGGAAAAAACTTTGCTTAACTGAAGAGTTAATAAAGAAAAGCCATTAGTGTCATTCTGGACAATTTTCTTTTTGCTTGGACACCTTCCTTTTCCAGTTTATATCTTGCACAGATTAAAAGAGCTTTACTAATGGAACATCCCATTGCCTGATAGCAGGTTTGAACCATATCAAGAGTTATTTGAGAAAGGGAAATGAAACATTATTCAAGACCTGGATCTCTCCATATCTTAGTTACTAGTCACCTGAGAGAAAGACTAATAGAGAAGGAAATCCAGTACCATCTTGAGATTCAAAAAAACCCTCAAAAACTCTTACAATGCTCTCAAAGTGGTGATGACTCTGAAGAAATGAGCTTTTCATTTATTTTTTGTGCCTCCATAAGCAACTCTGTGCTAACAGCAATCATTCTGCGTAGTCTTCTATTTTAACTGATACTAGGTTGAAGGACGAACCTGTAAAAGAAGAAACAAACTGGCGTTACTGTTTCTCTACCAGAAACCCAGAGGTTAGGGTTGCTTTTAGTGTATCTACGGGTATTTTCAGTAGCAGCTAAATTCCCACACATCATCACATTTGAAGGTCATATTGAGTAGTAAAGATGCATACCAGTGTTAAAGTTATAATAGCAGCTATGTATGTGTGTACCAAAACTACAACTCCCTCTCTAGAGTTTTTGGTGATATTTGCTGTCATTGAAAAGGTTCCTAGGCCACAGGTTCATCAGTGAATGGAGAAAAAGCAGGCATTTCTACTGGTAGAAAAGGCTCTCTATCTAGTTAGTCCATTCCATTTGAATTATGTGTTATGATCTGTAAAGAAATCTTTATCTTTTCATTAAGTTTTGCTTAGTTTTAATCAATGGATTCTATGAGGAGAATTGAAACTAATCTAGTGGTATCACTGTTATTTCTACCACTTTCAGCTTTGGATGACTAAAAGTGAAAAGGAAGAGACTTTCAAGTCAGTCTGACTTTCAAGTCAGATGCACCATAATTATTTTATCTTCTATAAATTTATATTCCATACAGATAATGCTAAGACTAGGGCCAGAGAACAAAATTTAAGTGTTGTTATACTGTAACATATTCATTAAATGAATGCTAGATTTCTGTAGATTTCTACACCTCCACCTGGAGCTCTTGCAGTATGGCTTTAGCAGAACTGCTCATTATGTTTTTAATATGATTATTTAAAAACAAAAAGCGAATATGCTGGTTTTGCTGAAGCAGACATATTTTATTGAGAAACATCAACACGGAAGAGCTTAGTAGCCATGCCTCTGAAGTCCAGCATGGGCTCTCCAGCTCCATCCCTTCTGAGCTATGGCTGCCTTCTGCTTGGGGTGCGAGATGAGAAGGTGCCATCTTCCCTATCACATGTCCTCATTTCCATGAGGAAGGAGCCCTGGAAGAAGTCACAACATGATCTCTTAAGGCTCTAGCTGGACACTTGGGGCACCACAGAAGTCTGTAGTACACTGAAGCCCCTCCTGCACCATCTCTAATCACAGTTTCAGAGCGGCAGAAAGACAGAGGGGAAGGAATAACAGTATAATGTGCTGATTTCAGCAGAGAACTACTGTGCTGACAAAATTTGCTTTGCAAAATGCCCAAAGATGACTTTATTTTCATTTTGGATGTGTAAAATGAAAGCAGACTTTTGTCCCCAAATTTCAAAAGATGCCAAGTGGATCTCTTGTCTCCGAGCATCCTCTCCTGATCAAAAGAAACCAGTTGCTCTCAGCTTGAGTGCCACTGGCAGTAAAGGTGTAAACAAGTGTTCTTCCTGCATAATTGATCTTCATTAGCATGCCACTGATTTCACAGGGCTATGTGCACTTATTGGCATTTATCTTCCTGCTTTGTTTTAACAGCTGCCTCTACTTTGAGAGATTCACTCTCCCTCTTGACGGTTGGTCAAACCCAGTGCAGCACATGGGTGCAGCTTTTAGGGAAATGGAGATTCATGAAAATCCTGCTGTGGGAAATAGAATTAAATAATATAGACTCTTTTCAAAACCTTCTCCTCATATTTGAAGTGTATTTCTAAACTGAATGCAACACAGAGTCAGAGTGCTCTTGCACCTGTTTTCAAGCTCAAATTTAGTCAGTCTGAAGGTACCGGATGGAGATTTTCAGCTGTCAGCCCCAAAGGTTGGATCACTTTCACCTCCTACATCAATCAGTCAAGCAAATGAGGTTCCCTTTTGGTGATCCTAGTCTGTGTACACTCCCAACTGTGCCCAGCTACACCTGTATGAGCTCATACCCCGTGAGCTTTACGTGGGTTTGCTTAGGTCTTTAATTTCAATGGAATGCTTGAGACAGAAGGCTAGGCTGCAAAAGGCAGGAGAGACTTCAGTATTGTGGCAGGGCCCAAGGTGGATTTGAATATTTACTGTAAGACTCAATGCAGTTAACATTTAAGAGTACAGTAAAATGTATTTTATAACAGATGGTGTACCATGATCTTGAAAAATTTCAAATAACACCTCCTTAAATTACAATAATTTATGGTATACCTCAGTGTGACTCTCTGATTACTGTGATTCTTATTTTCATCAAAAGCATGCTTCAGCTGCAGTTGGTCTAGGGCCTGAGATTGACAGGGAGAAATGAAACCATTTTTCAGGTGTAGCTGAGTTAGAAGTACCACACAACCTAAAATATGCTAATATTTTTACTATCTTGTAATTAATATCATTATTTCACTTAAAGCTATCACTTAAAATACAAAATCTATAAATGACAATTTAGGAGAGTTAATAGGCCGGCTATTTCTCTAAATATTTAAAGGGAAATTTTCAAGAACACAAAAGTTAGATGGGTAACCATCATCCTCTGAAAGCAATTGTTTTCTCAGGAAATGTTCCTTCTATTAGATGAGGTACTTACATTAAGGTTTATTCATGGCTAAGAGCTTATATCCTACAATATTAATACCTATTAACTCTGACTGGCTGGTCTTTGTATAGTCTAATCAGTTCCATCTTTGTAACAGGAAAATTAATCTTTATAGCTGTGAATGATTTGTAGTCTTAGGGAGGAAGCAAAATGTGAAAATTACCTAGGAAATACAGCCTTTCTGCCTCCATAATACTGGAGTTATATCAAGACTGCATAGAAAAAGTCAGAGAAGGTCTTTAAACTTCTACACAGCTGTAAATAGTTAATAAGACAGGCTGTTACTGCCCGACTACGGAAGCTTAAGGAAAGCATTGAGCTGTGTTGTTACAACTTGAGAAATTATGCCCTCACATCATTAAAGACTGAGATAAATCTGAGACAAAATTTGAAACCACTCAACCGTTGCATTCACAATACAAGCCAAAGATGAAAAGCTGCTGCTTCCGATGTTGTTCGTTACATGCAACAGCAAAAACTAGCCTGAGAACCTGGGAGAATTCAAAAGATTGAAATTAGTTCAGAAGTCCAGAAAAATGGATTTCTATGCATGTTAATGGTATGCCTCTTTCTGTGCCTGACTGAAAGAAGAACTGCAACATTAGCCGGGACAAGAAGAACACAACTTCTCGAAATATGCCAAAGCCAACTAGCAAGAATATATCTCGAGCTGCAAGTAAACGTTATGGAACGTAACGGGCCATTTACTGGTCAGAACAGAAAACTTGAAAGGCACGGCTACGTTTTCTGCGAGGGAACCCAGCAGTTCCTGGCTCTCAGAGGCAAAGGCACCAAACCGGGGATGACTGCTATTTTTGCCCTCGCACAACTCGCTCGCTTTGCCCTGCGCGCCCGCCCCGCCCCGCGTCCGGATCCGCGCACCGCGCTTAGCCTGGAGCCCCGCGCTGCCCGCGACCGCCGAGATCCCCCCTCCCTGAGCCCCCTCCACCCAAGCGAATCCCCCTGTCCCGCGCAACTGCTGGCAAGGCGCTGCCCCGCCTAAACTTGCGCCAGCCCAGCCCAGCCCAGCCCGCCGCGGCTCCGCGCCCGCCCCGCGTTACCTTCGCGCTGTCCCTCTGCGGGCGCCCCGCGGGGCAGTAGGGGCGGTGGGGGCGGTGGGGGCGAGCCGGGCAGGGCAGGGCAGGGCAGGGCAGCCCCGGGCTGCGGTCACGGCTCCAGCCCGGGCGGGCACGGCGAGGCTCCGCCGGGGCGGGAGCAGAGGGAAGCGCGCAGCCCCCCGCCCAGAGGCGCACCTTACTCGGGCGCTGCGGAGGCGCCGGGTCTCGCCTGGAGCTGAGGGCCGCGCCCCGGGGCCGGCGCTGCCGCACTCGCCGCCCGCCCGGCGGGACCGGGACCGGGACCGGGGCTGGGGCTGGAGCCGCCGCGCTAGCGCATTTCGGGAGGCCGCTCCAGGCGGCCCTAGAGCCCGGTATTCCGGCGCTGCACGGTGTGACAATTAGAGTTTCCATGGAAATGCAGTGAGTCGGTAAATAAACCCCGCGCTCGCCGGTGCTTACGGGATGCTCTCAATGCCTCACCTGGCGCTCAGGACACGGCATTTTGCAAAGGTGAAACGCGCTGCGAGTCCCCGGGAAGCGGGAGCACAGACAGGCAATCACAGAGCGGTGACCTAAGCTCCCCTCGCTTCGGCTGGAGAGGAGCTCCGCAGGTGTTCATCCATGCTGCTCGAACACCCTTTGATTTTTATTTTAGAACAGGTGGGAGGCGATGGATTTCCCCCAAACAGTTTTCCTTTCCGAGTTGAGTAACTCGGTTCTTACAGAAGGAAATATCTGAAGGGTGGTTTTAATTTTATCTGAACAATCAATGGGAAGGCAGAGCATTTCCTTAAGTAAGCAGTATTTTAAAGCATAAAAATTGTCGGGTGTGTCATAGCACAAAGCATGAAAGGACAAATTCTGCTGTTCTCACCGGCTGTTATCTTCTAGCACGAGAAGAGTCATTGATCATAGTCCTATTACAGAGCTACTGGAGAACTGAGTGACACGCAGGTCTGTGGGAGCACAAGTGGCAGAATCTGACACAAAAAAGTAATGACTTTCCCATTTGCCAAGGCACTACTTCGACACTTGATATTAACACAGTGCTGCAGAAAAGCTGTCAGTATAATTAACCTATGAAAGACTGTACCACACAAAAACAAAACAGCCAGATCAATCATATTGTTGAATAACCTTTGAAAAGTCCAGCTAGGTTCCTTATTTAACTTGGGTTAGAAAATACTCATTGAGTGATCAAGGAACAAATAACCTTAATCTTCAGCAGATGAGCTCAGGATGGCAAGGAATATTTCATCCTATCTTTCACTCGCTTCTGCATTATCCACCACCCACTTCTGGTGAATCACTGCATGTACAAGTGGAGCACAGGGAGCTGACAGTGGAAGTGACGCGCCAATCCATCTCATCATTTTAAGACAACTTTCCCGTTAGTCACAACAGAGAACAGAATTAATCCTTTTTAGGCCTGAGCAGCTGTTCTTAGCATTTTCGACCATCTTCCCACCTAGCACTGATGGTTTTGAAGCCTTTCACGCAAATATTTGATCTGAAGACAAAAACCCACTCTGGTTCCAACATGTGATGGAGGTGATTAAGGCTTTCTCCCAGGGTACCCACTTACCTGGGTGTCCCTTGTTCCAGCAGAGCTTCCCACATTTCTGGCTTCACTGCTTGAAGTGGGAGCTGCCTCCTGGAAACAGTGACTTCAGAGACACTATATCTTTCTATCAAAACTTTTGTCAGCAGAATGACATTGTCTTTAGAAAGAAATCCACATTTGCTGGTAGAGCCCACAGGAGGGAAATTAAGGTTTCTTACATTGCACAATTGTGATTTATGTGGGATACCATTGTACCTTCATTCGGTACAAACAGTGTACCTTCATGTTAGGCCATTTCTAAGATGGCCTAGTTCAGTTCACCTAGTGCAGTTTCCCAAGCAGCCTCCAGAAATCATGTGCTTGTTATCAAGAGCAGTCAGTAACACAAGTATTCCTCCCTCAAAGCAATTTTCTCTAAGAATTAAATATCATATTTTTTTTGTTGGTTGTCTTATTTCAGGAGGGTTCTTCAACCAGTAATGTATTGGCAGGTGTGGGCTTGTTTGTTTGTTTTCCCCACAGAGCTGTAAATAACACCAGATTTCTCTCCGCTGTTTTTGGACAATTCATCCCTGATACTTGCGCACATCAGAGGCTATTACTATTCAGACCATTATAATTTTTTCCTTTTTACTGTTCGTGTACCTCTCTCTTGCCAGTAATACTACTGAATAATAAAATCAGTAATCTAGCGATAGGAAAGGTCTAGAGGTATTGAATGGCAGAAGTGACAGCAGATCTTAGTACAAGTTCCTTAGAAACCAGCCACCCTGGGGTTGTTGAAATCATAGAGGAGTCCTTGAGGAAGTAAGAGATGGTGATGATGAAAGATACCTATTCTGGAGGAGCTGTGGAAGAAAAGTGGTGCATCAGAGAGAAAAGATTGAGATTCCTGAGTCAGAAGAACAAAAGAGAAAATACAGCAGAGAACTCTGTGGTTATATGAATATAAATTAATTTTGGCATGTTTCTTACCACATTCCTATATGTATCTTTCTTTTGGGAGTATCATTCTAATATCTTAGAAAATTTAGCCTCTAAAGGCTAACTGAAGACATGAAGACTCAAAGCTCCAGTGGAAGTCGATGAGAAAACCAAGAGTCTAAGCCACCTAATATCCAGTTCCACAGTATGAAGTTGATTGTCTTGAGTCAAAATTTGTCATGAGTCAAAGTCTAATGTTACTGTAAAGTCTGATACAAATCAGACCTATCCATGGGGCAAGACAGTGTAAATGGTAAGACATAGTTACTACAGAATTTGAGAGATTTTGTGAAATACATAAAAAACATTTCTGTAGGTCAAAATTTTTCACCGAACTCTTCATACCCAGCAAAAGTACTATTAAAATATTATTCAAAATACCACTAATCTCTGGCTTCTGTATGGCCCATCCCTTCCACAGTTCTTACCTTGCATAAAGCAGCAAACCTTGGACTACTGAAGTTGTGGCAATGATTGAGCTGTCTTTGTGATGAAAGGCAGGACATCTGATGGTTAGGTTACTTCCAAGGGTGAGACTATAATTAGTCATTTTTGTTGCCTAATGTGTCATCACAGTTTTTGGCTGATATTCTGCACATTGACCCATCTGGATGATCATGCTGAACTGTGGGACCTATTTCTACTTTATCTGAAGCCAGATGAGAGCTTGTGTATGAGCATACATAAGTTTGAATCCTTAAGGGACAGCGCAGGGTGGGCACAGCACAAAACATGACTTAGTATTTTAGCCAGGTGAACATAATTTAGGTTATATCTCAAACAGCCTTGTAATATTTCATGTGATCAGGATAGATTTGCACTGGTTAACTTGGCTGTATTGTTGAAAATGGAACTGCAGCAGTGAGACTGTCAGTAGAGATTAACCACATAACCTTTCATGAAGCTCATTTGGGTTTGTGACATTAGCAGTCAAATGAAGTGTTGTTATGTTTGGTGTCAGATGCAGTTGTGTCAGAATAAACATGCTCTTATCCAAACAGAGAATTTGCTGCTGTTCAAATTGTACTCAACAGCGAAAGACCTATTTAGTCTACTGATGACAGGCTTTTGCCCCAAGGAGCATGAGTTCCCTTATCTTTGAGTAATGCGAAATGCAAGTATTTCAATGGCACTGATGTTCAGTACTAGAAAATGAAAACAATAAAAAATAAGGTTAAAAAACCCTTCAGAGAGTGTTTCCATTCATTTTGGTAGTGGTGACTTCAGTTTGTTTTATACAGAATAGAAAGTACAAATGATTCTCCTAGTGTTCTATCTGGTGTATTTTAAGTTTTACAGAGCAATTGTTTTGCCTGAGCACATGACAATACATTGCAATGAAAGTGACAGCTCATTTTACAACACCTTTTCCATTTTTGAGAGTTGCAGTGAGAAAAAATTTTAATGGATTGATGTCTAGGTATATTTTTTCTACATGTTTCTTAAAAACATTTTGTTCTCTTCTCAATGCTTTTACTTCAAAGCAATTCTATATTCGTTTACTCAGGCTGTTCTGTTTCCTTAGTTGAAATACTTGTGTTCTGTTCATTATAAATTTTGCAATGTCATGCCTTCACACAAATAAACATGTACACACAAACAAACACAGTCTTCCAGTCCAGGGTGCCTTTGATGTACTGAAGAATTCATTCCCTGGAAGAGGATAATCTTTAACACAATGGTTATCTTTCTGCTCCAGTGTTCTTGTGTCCTGACAGTCATCACCACTAAAATTAAAGTTACTGAGAAATCATTTGACACCTTTGTGAGCTTGGAGCTCCAAGTGGAGACTCTCAGCTTGGTGTTGAGACTGAAGATGCGCAGAATAGCCAGGGCCTGCTAATGCCTGATTTCTTACAGAGAATACCTGATGCTACACGGCACTTGCTGCACAACATGTATTTTATATAGCTATAATGGGAAGTTTATATAGCTATAGCTATAATGGGAAGTTTTAAAAGGGTCTATCTCTGTTTATTAGAATGATTATTTTTTACTGTGTTTAGTGCTCATATGTATGTGAAGTGCTTCAGAGAAGACTGACACAGCTCCAACAGATTCAGTCATCTGAGGTGGGCACACAGTAGTATGGCAAAGCAGAAAGCTTATGGTAAGACTTGGGTTATAGCGTGTGTGCATACATATGTATATACACTCATAAGTGTAGCACGTGTTTGAAAACTCAATGACTGAGGCAGCTCTTTCCATTTCTCTACTGCACTGTTCAAAGCCTGACCTTGTATCTTTCTGCTGTG